TTTTTCCATCTTCCGCCGCCGCCGGTATACAAAAGTGTCTGTTGCTTGGAGCTGGGAGGGATTACACGCGAACCACGCAAGAAAATCAATCACGCCAGTTGCACGCAATGCAACCGGTTAACAAGTAGTTCATCTCTACTTAAAAATCAAGATTCGATTGGACTAAACTATGAAACAAACTACAGTCGCATCAAAGCGGGGGGAAAAAACCACACAAAACATCTAATCTAAAAAAAAAGACAGAAAAGAAAAAGAGAGATATTTCCCCCCAAAAAAGCGTTCAGAATCCATCTCCATCGATTTTTGAAAGCGAGCGACAGGCGCCCATTGTGGCCCACTGTATTAATTCTAATCCAATAAGATCTCATTCATCAAGCTGGCCAGGGCCGCCTTTGTCCGGATCCGGCCACCGTGAAAATTGTACCAAAAAAAAAAAATCATAAACAAAAAACCCGGACAAAATGGATTGGGGTCCGGGCGGGTTGCTGCGGGAGGACCATCGTTGCTTCTGGGACGTGGGCGAAGCCGTCGGCTGGGAGTGGCGGCCACCCAGGTAATTACCCGCATAGCTCAAGTATTTGTCGCATCTGACCGCCGGATGCAGAGAGCCGACGGCCGCCAGGAGGGAAAAAGAAGGTATGGCAGAGGCTCCCGAGGCTGCATTTATGGCCGCCTCGCACTATTAGGGTTGAAATTTCAGGATGTATTTATATATATTTTTGTTCTTTTGGTAGATTAGCATTGTCAATGATTCGGCAAGATGGTGGGCGTTGTATCCAGCGGTGCTTTGGTCTGAAGGGAAGGCCTCATAGCAGCCTTCCTCAGGTGTTCTAAGAGATCACTGGATGCCTTTGCGGGCAGTCAGTTTCTTGGGTGTTGTCGAAGTCATCGGTGTTGTCGAAGTCATCGGTGTTGTCGAAGTCATCGGTGTTGTCGAAGTCATCGGTGTTGTCGAAGTCATGGGTGTTGTCGAACTCATGGGCGTTGTCGAACTCACGAATGTTGTCGAACTCACGAGTGTTGTCGAACTCACGAGTGTTGTCGAACTCACGAGTGTTGTCGAACTCATGCTATCGAACTGATGAATATTATCAACTCCGTGGGTGTCATCGAACCCATTTGGTGATGTTGTCACGCTAATATGCTAGTAAACCCTTGGGTTCTGTACGAACCTTGGGTTGCTGTTAAACTCGTGAGAGGTGTCCAACCCATAGGAGCTGTCGAAGCAATGGGTGCTGTATGCAACCAAGATTGTCACCCATTTTGGGCGCTCTCATGGACTTGGACGGTGACAACCTCCGTTGTCACCCACGTGCGCCCTGTCACCCTCCCCGACCTTGCGCCATATGCGGGACAAAAGCAAACACAGGCCGGCGTAAGACGACCCTCAGAGGATAATGATGTATTCTTGTTGATAAAGAACACTGGGTAGTGATGATTCCGTTATACCGGTCACCCGCAACGGCCCCAATACCAGGTCCGGTACACCAGGTCCGGTACACCAGGTCCGGTACACCAGGTCCGGTACACCAGGTCCGGTACACCAGGTCCGGTACACCAGGTCCGGTACACCAAGTCCGGTATACCAGGTCCGGTACACCAGGTCCGGTACACCCGGACCGGTACACCTAGGCATAGTACACAAGGCCCACAAATACAGACCCAAATATATAATTTCAGATACAACACTGCGCTCTTCAAACTACCCCTTCGGCATCTTCCAGTCTGTTAGGGTGAGATTAGCTGAGGCTACAATATGTCTGTGGTAGAGGGTTCGAGTCCCACCCACAAGGTCACCCAGTGTTTTCAAGTTCACCATACATGAAACTTGATTCCAAAGAAGTTAAGAACTTGATTCCAAACAGGAGAAAAGTGATTTAGAAATCCCTTCTTGAAAACCAGTTATCTTAACGATTCCATCGGAGATATCCACCAACCATTTTGAAATCTAAAAGCTTAAATGAAATTTAAAACATTTAGTACAAAACAATGGGATTATTGTCGTAGTTTCACATTCAAGAACTGGTGGTTAGATTCTCCAAAATATTACGAAACGGCTCAAATAGATATAAATAGATCATGGATGATAACCCATTATCTATCTTACACACTAACAATAAGGCAAATAGGGAGGTGGAACAGGTTAAAAGGAAGTTGACCAGACCACACACTAGAAGTTGAAGGGACGACGACGTTTCGGTCCGTCCTGGACCATTCTCAAGTCGATTGTGAGAATGGTCCAGGACGGACCGAAACGTCGTCGTCCCTTCAACTTCTAGTGTGTGGTCTGGTCAACATACTTCAGCCACGTTATTGTGACTCATCGCCTGCAGGTAAAAAGGAAAATAAAGTAGGAAGAAGTAATAAGGGGAAGAAGAAATCCGAAATGAACCAAACAGATCAAGGTACGAATGTATAAAACTAGAAGAGAAACGTCGGAAGTATGTACAAAAATTAACATATGTATTATCGAAAACAAATATACACGATTATATCACCTTAGTATGAGCGTGAGGGGAGGGGGGGGGGAGAATTATCATTGGAAAGCGCCAAGCCATTACGAGCAATGTATGTTTGGTGCTGCTTTTAGTTTCGGGAGCAGTGACTGAAAATATACTTGTAGTGGTTGTCACGACAGTGGTGGTAGTTGTAAACAATGGCACAGGTCCTATACAGAATCTGGGATGAGGCACAGGTCCGGTACAGGATCTGGGATGAGGCACAGGTCCGGTACAGGATCTGGGATGATACATAGATCCTGTACACGATCTGGGATGAGACACAGGTCCTGTACACGATCTGGGATGATGCACAGGTCTTGTACACGATCTGGGATGATACACAGGTCCTGTACACGATCTGGGATGATGCACAGGTCCTGTACACCATCTGGGATGAGGCACAGGTCCTGTACACGACCTGGGATGATCCACAGGTCCTGCACACGATCTGGGATGATCCACAGGTCCTGTACAGGATCTAGGACAAGGTCCGGACATGCACAGGTCCGGGACAAGGTCCGGTACACGATCTGAAATGATACACAAGTCCTGTACAGCATTATACCGTGCACACCAACCACTCAATCTCTGAATGACAATTGAATAACATCACACACACAGGAGACACTCTCCTTCACAATTGAGGAAGAAGGTAAGTGATTGACTTTAGTGGTGAGGCGTTGATGGCGCTACGACTCAATTGCTGGAACAATGTTCCACTCGCCCAGACTATCTTGGCTTTGCTTTGTCTTAAGACCTATCACCCTCATGCAGCTTTTCTTAAGGCCGTGATGATCAAGTTTAATTACTGACCAACCAGTACGTCGATTTTAGTCCAAACATTTTGTCCAGGACTAAAGAGAAAAAATACATTCAGAGCACATACACCGAGGGGCTGGGAATTCTTCAGAGGGATAGAAATCCTATCACAGTGTACTTGACTTTAGTGTACCTTTGCTAACTTCAGTGTACCGTTGCTGACTTCAGTGTACCGTTGCTGACTTCAGTGTACCGTTGCTGACTTCAGTGCACCATTGCTGACTTCAGTGCACCGTTGCTGACTTCAGTGTACCGTTGCTGACTTCAGTGTACCGTTGCTGACTTCAGTGCACCGTTGCTGACTTCAGTGCACCGTTGCTGATTTCAGTGCACCGTTGCTGACTTCAGTATACCGTTGCTGACTTCAGTGTACCGTTGCTGACTTCAGTGTACCGTTGCTGACTTGAGTGTACCGTTGCTGACTTGAGTGTACCGTTGCTGACTTGAGTGTACCGTTGCTGACTTGAGTGCACCGTTGCTGACTTGAGTGTACCGTTGCTGACTTCAGTGTACCGTTGCTGACTTAAGTGTACCGTTGCTGACTTGAGTGTACCGTTGCTGACTTAAGTGTACCGTTGCTGACTTTAGTGTACCGTTGCTGACTTGAGTGTACCGTTGCTGACTTGAGTGTACCGTTGCTGACTTGAGTGTACCGTTGCTGACTTGAGTGTACCGTTGCTGACTTCAGTGCACCGTTGCTGACTTGAGTGTACCGTTGCTGACTTGAGTGTACCGTTGCTGACTTGAGTGTACCATGCATAGTGTCTCCCTGTTCTTGCCCTATGCTAGTTATCTACCTTACCATCATTTATGATCCTCGTTTCAAGAGCTGTTCTTAAAATTACTCCTCCGGCCTCTGATGAACAGGTGGCAGAAAGAGATTGTGGTTCTTCCTTCCAGAGATTGTGGCTCTTGCTTCCAGAGATTGTGGTTCTTGCTTCCAGAGATTGTGGTTCTTCCTTCCAGAGATTGTGGCTCTTGCTTCCAGAGATTGTGGTTCTTGCTTCCAGAGATTGTGGTTCTTGCTTCCAGAGATTCTGGTTCTTGCTTCCAGAGATTCTGGTTCTTGCTTCCAGAGATTGTGGTTCTTGCTTCCAGAGATTGTGGTTCTTCCTTCCAGAGATTGTGGTTCTTCCTTCCAGAGATTGTGGTTCTTCCTTCCAGAGATTGTGGTTCTTGCTTCCAGAGATTGTGGCTCTTCCTTCCAGAGATTGTGGTTCTTGCTTCCAGAGATTGTGGTTCTTGCTACCACCATCATAGTTTCCCCCCCGTGACAAAATGTGATCATTTAACACACGCTCATTTGACACACACAAGGTACCTTTTGACTCACTAAACACCCATTTGTTGCATGCCCGTTTGACACACACACACACGCACACACACACACGCACACATACGCACACACACGCACACACACACACACACACACACACGCGCACACACGCACACACACACACACACGCACACACACGCACACACACACACACACACACACACACACACACACACACACACACACACACACACGCACACACGCACACACACGCACGCACACACACACGAGAGAGACAGAAACAAATACTCTACATTTTAACATTACCATGTATGCCTGTATATACTTGGCAAGGTCACTATGAATACAAATATCCATAAACAGCTATTCATCGTCTAGTTGACTCAGTGGAGGAAAAAACAATGAGATTGACACGAAGAAGTGGCACTGTTGCCTCGAGGCGTCTGAAGTACAGGAGTGCCAGAAGTGGCACTGTTGCCTCGAGGCGTCTGAAGTACAGGAGTGCCAGAAGTGGCACTGTTGCCTCGAGGCGTCTGGAGTACAGGAGTGCCAGAAGTGGCACTGTTGCCTCGAGGCGTCTGAAGTACAGGAGTGCCAGAAGTGGCACTGTTGCCTCGAGGCGTCTGAAGTACAGGAGTGCCAGAAGTGGCACTGTTGCCTCGAGGCGTCTGGAGTACAGGAGTGCCAGAAGTGGCACTGTTGCCTCGAGGCGTCTGAAGTACAGGAGTGCCAGAAGTGGCACTGTTGCCTCGAGGCGTCTGAAGTACAGGAGTGCCAGAAGTGGCACTGTTGCCTCGAGGCGTCTGGAGTACAGGAGTGCCAGAAGTGGCACTGTTGCCTCGAGGCGTCTGGAGTACAGGAGTGCCAGAAGTGGCACTGTTGCCTCGAGGCGTCTGGAGTACAGGAGTGCCAGAAGTGGCACTGTTGTCTCGAGGCGTCTGAAGTACAGGAGTGCCAGAAGTGGCATTGTTGCCTCGAGGCGTCTGGAGTACAGGAGTGCCAGAAGTGGCACTGTTGCCTCGAGGCGTCTGAAGTACAGGAGTGCCAGAAGTGGCACTGTTGCCTCGAGGCGTCTGAAGTACAGGAGTGCCAGAAGTGGCACTGTTGCACCGAGGCGTCTGAAGTACAGGAGTGCCAGAAGTGGCACTGTTGCCTCGAGGCGTCTGAAGTACAGGAGTGCCAGAAGTGGCACTGTTGCCTCGAGGCGTCTGGAGTACAGGAGTGCCAGAAGTGGCACTGTTGCCTCGAGGCGTCTGAAGTACAGGAGTGCCAGAAGTGGCACTGTTGCCTCGAGGCGTCTGGAGTACAGGAGTACCAGAAGTGGCACTGTTGCCTCGAGGCGTCTGAAGTACAGGAGTGCCAGAAGTGGCACTGTTGCCTCGAGGCGTCTGGAGTACAGGAGTGCCAGAAGTGGCACTGTTGCACCGAGGCGTCTGAAGTACAGGAGTGCCAGAAGTGGCACTGTTGCCTCGAGGCGTCTGAAGTACAGGAGTGCCAGAAGTGGCACTGTTGCCTCGAGGCGTCTGGAGTACAGGAGTGCCAGAAGTGGCACTGTTGCCTCGAGGCGTCTGGAGTACAGGAGTGCCAGAAGTGGCACTGTTGCCTCGAGGCGTCTGGAGTACAGGAGTGCCAGAAGTGGCACTGTTGCCTCGAGGCGTCTGAAGTACAGGAGTGCCAGAAGTGGCACTGTTGCCTCGAGGCGTCTGGAGTACAGGAGTGCCAGAAGTGGCACTGTTGCACCGAGGCGTCTGAAGTACAGGAGTGCCAGAAGTGGCACTGTTGCCTCGAGGCGTCTGGAGTACAGGAGTGCCAACCAGGGGCCACGTAACTAGCAATAACCAATGAAGGCGTTATGTCTCAGCTGTGTCCTTGGCATCGAGGCCCCGCCCTGGATAAATAACAACCTCCAACAGGGCCACACTGTTGCCTCGAGGTGGCACTGTTGTGGCACTGTTGCCTCGAGGCGTCTGGAGTACAGGAGTGCCAGAAGTGGCACTGTTGCACCGAGGCGTCTGAAGTACAGGAGTGCCAGAAGTGGCACTGTTGCCTCGAGGCGTCTGGAGTACAGGAGTGCCAACCAGGGGGCCACGTAACTAGCAATAACCAATGAAGGCGTTATGTCTCAGCTGTGTCCTTGGCATCGAGGCCCCGCCCTGGATAAATAACAACCTCCAACAGGGCCACACACATATATCATTGGTCTATTGATAGTCGCACCGTGAACGCCGAGTGATCAATTGCCACATAAATACTTCTTGTCCAAGAATAATGTGCATTGGATATCCATAATTTATTGAAGGTTTGACTTGGGGAGATTCGCGACGGCTAAGGGGGAGGGGAAGAGAGTGGTAAAACGGTCTTAGACTTGAGGTGGCATCCCAACTCGTCCTCCAAATAGCACGTCGTATTTTGACGTATAGTCTACCTAAGGTAAAAAATTGTCGTACTAGAAAATTGAAGCGGTTTGCGAAATTGACGTACTGTCTCCGTTTTCTGTTTTGGGTCCTCTGGAAGGGCACTTTAGGACGACAGTTTCTTGACGTTGGGGAGCCTTAGGAGGACGGGCTGGGTATCGACACCGGGTAGGAGTGTTCCGAGACGCTACCAAATAACCAAACTACCCGACCCCACACGTGAAGTTAATGGGAGAACGATTCGGCTAATAGTTAACTCAAGTTGTGACGACGTTCCTATCTTTCTTGAACCCTTATCAAGTTGTGACACAGCAACAGCCGGAGAGAAGAGAAGGGGGGGGGGAGAAGAGAAGGGGGGAAGAGGAGAGGGAAAGAGAAGGGGGAAGAGGAGGGGGGGGGGGAAGAGGAGGGGGGAGGGGAAGAGGAGGGGGGGATGAGAAGGGGGGATGAGGAGGGGGGGAAGAGGAGGGGAGGAAGAGGAGGGGGGGAAGAGGAGGGGGGGAAAGGAGGGGGGATGAGGAGGGGGGGATGAGGAGGGGGGGGGGGGATGAGGAGGGGGGGGAAGAGGAGGGGGGGGGATGAGGAGGGGGGGATGAGGAGGGGGGGATGAGGAGGGGGGGAAGAGGAGGAGGGGGGAAGAGTCAGGTGAAGATATATAACACGACTACTTGCTTGGGCTCTACGGGCTCACCATAGCCCGTGCTACTTGGACACTCCGTCCTGAATAGCTAAATCTTTAACAACAACAACTTGGGCTCTAGCCCACCGCTCCTGTGCCAGATAAATCCACTACGGGCTCACCATAGCCCGTGCTACTTGGAACTTGAACCGACTAGCTGAATCTATAACACCAACATTGGGCTCTATTACGGGCTATTCATGCCCGTACCACCTCTTGGGTGGCTTAATCTTTATCAATCATTGGGCTCTAGTAGACTCGAACCCTGGACCCCCACGTGTCTGTGTGTCAGGCCGAAGCTCTATCCACCGAGCTATTGAGTAGTCTTAATAAGGAAATTCGACCTACATCAACATCTTATAAGGAGCGAAATAACCCTTCTCCAGAGGTCCCATGTTTAAGATTCTGGTTCGAGGTTCGAGTTATTCCCCTAAGGGGGGGGGGGGGGGGGGGAACTGTCACTTACCCGTCGAGGTCACTGTAGAACTATGATGGTCCTCAGGTAAATCACTTTTCAATTAGCTTTTTCTCCCTGATCAAATGGTTTTACACATTGTTATCAGAGATCAATGTACATTATGGGCTGATACATGAACATTATATTATATATATATATATATATATATATATATATATATATATATATATATATATATATATATACATATATATATATACATATATATATATACATATATATATACATATATATATACATATATCTATACATATATATATATACATATATATATACATATATATATACATATATATATACATATATTATATATATATAATGTTCATGTTAATATGAATACAAATATAGGAGGATACGGGACAAGCGTATGGCAATTATAACACTGAAAAATCGTGTTTAAATTCGTCTTGTGTTGCTCAAGCGTAAACTAAGAGCAGTTTACGATTCACGAGCGGTTTACCTTGACCATATAGGTGGACGGTATACACCCAAACTTGCGGACAGGAGAATTTGGAATGGAACGGAGGGAAAGGAATGGTAGCCAACCACTTGGACGGTCGGGGGATTGAACGCCGACCGGCATGGAGGCAAACCGTCGCTCTACCGTCCAGCCCAAGTGGTTGAGCGGCAGCTCTCATCGAAGTTTCGGAAGAATGAGAGAAAAATATGTAACTTTGCGGCCAGAAGCTGATAATTGAAGATTCAGAAGTGCGGTCAAGGGTACTGATACGAACGGTTGTTCACGGAATTACATTAAGAACTTTGGTAAAGGAGAGCTTCCCCTGATGATTAGAGTTGTATTGTAAACAATTTTAGAGCTAAGGGGAGCTTCCCTGATGTCAGAGTTGTATTGTAAACAATTTTAGAGCTGAGGGGAGCTTCCCTGATGATTAGAGTTGTATTGTAAACAATTTTAGAGCTGAGGGGAGCTTCCCTGATGTCAGAGTTGTATTGTAAACAATTTTAGAGCTGAGGGGAGCTTCCCTGATGATTAGAGTTGTATTGTAAACAAGCTTAGAGCTGAGGGAAGCTTCCCCTGATGTCAGAGTTGTATTGTAAACAAGCTTAGAGCTGAGGGAAGCTTCCCCTGAAGTCAGAGTTGTACTGGTAGATATAACTTTTAGTCCATCCTTTTCAACTGGCAAATGTGTGTGTTTTCTAAGACGCTTCCGAAGTGAAATAAGTATTAAATATCCGAAGTAAATATTGGAGTATCTAACGTAATCATCAAATAAGTGTTCCACCGAAAGATACGATTCTCATTCTACTTAAAGAGAAACAAAAATACGCTAATCTTTTTTGAAAAGATTCACGTATTAATACGAGAAAATACGTGATTTTTTTTTTTTTTTACGGAGGAGGGTCAATAGGTGGAAGTTTGAGGGTCAATCACCGAACTGATTGATCCCAACCGCACACAACAGGTCTGAAATCAGAAAAAATCACACTCAGGTGATCAATATCAATGACGACATCAATTAGAGCTCTGATGTGCTCCAGAGCTCCTGTCGACTCACACAATACACTGTGTTATTGCTTCATAAAACAACACATCCTGCAATCACAGAACACAGTGTCGAATACTGAATTACGAAGATTTTAAATCACTCGACATTTGACTAATCCCTTGTGAGCCCCAAGGCATTTTTTTTTGGGGGGGTTTGATTTTGCAGGATAGAGAGCATTAAAAAAGGGGGGGGGGGTTGTTGAAGCATCTTGAGATTGAGGGGGGGAGCCACCCCCCTTCCCCCACCTTCCTCTTCCCTGCTCCTTGTTATAAACATCAATATCAAGCAAGATGCAAGATGCAAGTGACGCATCTCTCTCTCTCTCTCTCTCTCTCTCTCTCTCTCTCTCTCTCTCTCTCTCTCTCTCTCTCTCTCTCTCTCTCTCTCTCTCTCTCTCTCTCTCTCACTCTCACTCTCTCTCATTCTCTCTCACTCTCCTCTCCTCCGTTTCCGCCAGTCACTAGTCTTCGTAGTGTCGCTAACTACCCTACACCAGACACTTGATAACTTGAGCAAAAATTGAAGCGAAAATGAAAGCGCTGAATAACTGTAAGCTCTGAACAGCCCCTTCAGTTAATGCTATTCCTTGATAGAAACAAAATGAATAATAATATACATTGGTAGTATGTATATTATGCGTATTATGTATATATAGGTTCGCGCCTACCTCACAGCCCTAGATGTTATCGTTGATATATATCACGTTAATATGTGATTTCTGTGCGTTCGAGAATATGTATATTGTTACAGTATGCTTTAGTAACGAGATACATTAGTGGTACCTCAACCTGTAGACCCCAGCCCGTGTTCTATATGCCACTACGCCAAAAACACAACCTTCTAACCTAACCAGAAACATGCTAACCCAAACAGCCCACACTTAACCTATCGAGAAAAAAGTCCACTACGGGCTCGCCATAGCCCGTGCTATTTGGAACATTTTGTTCCAGGTAGCGAATCTTAAAACAACAACAACCTATCGAGTCAGATGCATTGAAAATAGTAGATATGATTGAGCCCTCACCACCTTTCATAGTAGGTTGCATTTATAACGTTGCTTGCCATGAACGTACAAAACGCGACCTATTAGGTCAAGATATCGGGTCTGTAATCAGCAAGCCACGTGTCGCAGAGGTCTTCGTGCTGTTGCAACACTCGATTACAAAAGATATCAGAAAGAACAACGTAATTTATATTCCATAGAAAGGTGAAGAGTAAATAGCGACACGCCTGAAATACACGAATACAAAGGGGTAATACAAAGGGGGTATAACAAAGGGGGTTTTAATGAGGGGCTAAGCATATCAATACAAAATAAAACACGAAACAATAGATGCAAACTGGATAAGTTTATATTCAAAAAAGACCTGGGTAAATACTGGTTTGAGAATAGGGTTATAGATTTATAGAACAAACTACCCGATGACATGACATTAGATGAAGGATTATTTTTATTGTTTCAAGCGTAGGTTAAACTTGTGCACGAATGCGTTTTAGTGGATATAAATAGGACCTTCCATTTATACTAAAGTATATCAACCATACCCATGTGAAACAGTTCCTGTTTACACTACGAAACAATGGGCAGAGTTTCTTTCACCCTATGCCCCTGTTACCTAGCAGTAAAATAGGTACCTGGGTGTTAGTCAGCTGTCACAGGCTGCTTCCTGGGGGTGGAGACCTGGTCTAGGACCGGGCCGCAGGGACACTAAAGCCCCGAAATCATCTCAAGATAACGGTAGGCCTACG